TTAAGGCCGGTTTAGAATCTTTGCCTAATTTCACACGGAGATTTCAATAGCTTTGAGTTCTTTAGCGGAAGCTTGAAATAAAAGCTTTGGGTAACTAATATTGCCTTCCTTAATATCGCGCTCGACTGAGATGGCGAATTGGCAGACACATTTTTGTTCCCCCCCAAGTGGTAAGCAGGCGGGCCCGCTCGTGGTCTGCGTATCACCATAAAATCTCATGGAATCCACCCTCTCTTGCTACGGGGGATCTGCCTAGTTTGGCAAGTCAACGGTTCACAAATACTAATCTATATAATTCAGCGCCTAATAAGGGCCGATCTTGTTCTCTCATAGCAAGGCGATAATTCATTCTAAGAGCCTTTTATCTGAGTGCCAGGAGATTAGAGGATTTAGGAGATAGTAGATTTCACAATATTTTAAATTATGAGAGCAATAGATAGGTGACACTCCTTCCTTCCATTGAGAATTACTGCTGAGCGAGCGAACCTGAACATAGAAATTGGTGGCCGCTCTTATACTATACCAGTAGTAGACATTCACCACCTTCCTTCTATCAATAAAGTCGAGTTGTTACAACATGTTCGTAACCCTGCTAACCACGTGATTCTGGTTTCGTCAGAAAACATATTCCTCTACTGCATAGTAGTATGGAGGGTAGTGCAACAGTCGGAAGGTAGGAATGGGAGGTGGGGTCTGCCAAATCATGGGTGCATAGGATGTCTCGTAGTACATCATCAGTGTTCTTATACGGAACCCGGGAGGGGAGATAATACGAGATCACGAACAATGCGTTTTGCCGCCCCTCAGTTCAGTAGGGTATTAGACCTGGAAATGAAAGCAAGCGCCGGAATCCTATAGTCTGCCAAAACTTACCAAGAACCGGTGCATGAGGGAAACATACAAACAACCGGTATTCCCCCTGTCGCGATCATATTCCTGCCGCCTTTCCATATTCCTGCTCGGTAGTTGCCATTCGCCAACATTGATTCCATACACCACCACGAAGTACTCGTTCAATAAAAATATCCAAGGCACTCCACATCTTCATTTTATTATGTGGCAAACTGCCCAAATCTTTCGGCATATTAACGATCTGTCCCTCATGATTTGGCTGCACCTCCGGAGCTGGCATTGCTTCTTAGGTAGCGCCGTTCGCTTTCTAATGTGCACAAGCGAGTGCCGTGTTATCATCACAGGGTATTAAAGAATCTCTGGTAAATCCGTTAGTGGGGGTCTCGGATTGGGATATTACCTCCGTTCCTTATATGGGAACACCAGACATCAAGGTATTTCACAGGTTTCAGTGTACCCCCGGAGTACTTCCAACAGCTAAGTTCGCGTCGAGCGGTTTTTTAGGGATAGACTTAAAAATCTGGCTAAAAATAAGCTTGTATAATTGACGGGAAAGAGATATCTGGTATGAGAAGAATCTCACAAGGAGCGAGAGAAAGGAAGTTAGGAGCGACGGTAATATGGGTGAGAAGAAAATAGAGATAAGAGAATTGGTTTACTGACGAGTAAGCAGTGAGAAATGGGCCCTTTTTGTCCTTCACCAGGCTTAGCAGCTGGAGTTCCAGGGTTCTTTAGATTCGGCCTCCCTGTCTCAGCACGCAATACTCCTATTGTCGCGAGACTTGCGGTTCGCCTAAATTACTACTACGGACGTGGAGGATCAAGCCCAAGAGGGGGGTGTTGGCAGCAATACGGGCGAGGATAAGACCACCATCGCGCCAGTTGAGATTTTCTGGGTAGAAGACTTAGCCTGAGGATAGGGGATGGCCGAGGTGGAGAGCGAAGCTGGGTTGAGTGCGAGAGGTATATTACTACGATGGACCGAGGTCGGGTGTTAGTGTAGGATGTTGGCAATAGATAGATGGCCTAGTAGGTGACATACCGCGTTATCTAGTGAGAATCGTCAGACACTGGCACCTTCAAATGGGGCCTCTATCCTTGCTTTGTCGCGACGGGGCAAGAAAGTGTCACATCCTAACTCCCGATAGCCCGGGCCAAGCCTTTCGCGGCTCTGCCTTTCACGTAATTGCAAACCCTACCACAGGCGCTTCTGAGTTCGACGTAAAGCCGTCTGCCGGTTCTCGCCAGATGATGCGGTAGTGAATTCAGAGGTTGATGGTGCCTAGTAGTCACGGGTTCTCCCTAGGGGGGGGGTGCTCTCTCCTGGTAACTTACCCGGACATACGATAGACTAGATGACTACTCGCGATGTAAGGCTGTCGATAACGTCGTGGATGCTGACTAAGAAAGCACCCTGAATTCCTGCAGGGTTATCTTAGCCATCGAGCTAGGGCCCATGAACTTATATGAGGGAAACAGCCAAAAAGCGATTCCCACCCATAAACCCCCTTCTTGCTGCCCTAGCGCATACCGGCCAACATATTTCGAACATGAATATTATCTAAACACAAGCTGCCTGCACGTTAACGATTATCCTATGATCAGCAAACTGTTTTCTCCGCCCACTTCAGTATCATCCCGAACCTCGAATCCCTTTTCTTCCTCGCATCTCCTGAGTCGTGTTTCTCAACAAGCACCCTTCATAGCAATTCAGCATTGGGAACTAGTTCTTTTTTCTCTTTTTTCACCCAGATGGCGGGTTGGGCCCGTCTATCTGGGCGAGCGCATGAGCTTAAACTCCAGATGTACTAGTACACCAAGTTGGGCACTGGTGGGAGTGTTTCAACCCTAACCCACATGAGAAATTATGGCGAAAATATTATAACATATCGCCTTGTAGGCACTTATGTGCAGAAGCCATTGACCCACACCAGTGATCTGCTCGGTCTGTGTTGATATAAATATATATACATGTCCTGGGATCACCATCAGGTTTGGCAATCATGTACTATCGCTCAGGAGCCCGTTGAGATCGGCAGTGCCGGCCCGGCGAACTCCCGGAAATTCCCGGGCCATCCGGGTGCGGTTGAGGGGTTCCGGGTATGGTAGGATGGACGGAGTCTACGGCTTTCTCCATGACCCCTAGGGCACCGGAGGGGCGGTACTATATCATGCAGCATTCATGCTTATCATAACTACCTTTCATTGGAAACAAGCTTAATTGAGTCAGCAATAAGTTAGATAACAGAATCCCGTTAACAGAATCCCGTCAAGATATGGTCTGGGAACCATTCTGAGCCCATGCGATGCGGGGCAACGAATCAGCCCTAACCGATCTTACTTTACTTAGGACCGCGACGGCATGGCCGGGCCGCATACAGTTCTTAGGGTCTTGTCTGGTCTGCAGCATTCACGGCAAGGCACTCTACCCGTCCTGAGACCAGGAAGTGGGGATCTGGCCCCGGGCCACTGGAGGAAGCACAGAGGAGACGACAGCCTTACTCTAGCTGTCTTCGCGACTTAGAACGTGGGGTTGTGAAGTACTCATTGGGAAAGATGCCGGCAGGTAGGGCCCATGGTTCCGGGGGTAACTCTGATCGTACCTTCTCACCAACAAATTTGCGAGATGATAGATGATGTTGAAAACATGAGAATAATTTCATATGGGAGCCATAAGCATTCATGTGTATACATAAGTGCTTACACATCTTTGATGTCTTTTTTGTGCATTGCATCCAATTCCTCCTGTTCCTCCCTCGCTGTTTGCTCCACTCTGCATAGTCAACAAACCTACCACCTTCTTTCTTTCTCTTGACTCTCTGTATACAAGAAAAATACTTTTCTCTCTTTGGGCATTTACTTTCTTCGGTTCCGTAAAACCTCCGTCTATTCAACCGCAATTTTCAACAGATGACGCCATTGACAACGGAGTGACCTCTGATGATTCTGCGGGGTAAAAGGGCGGAAGGAAATAATTCGCTATGAAAATAAACAAATTCGCGGCTAAACGCAAGCAGAAACAACCGACAATAAAAGGGTAAAATGCCTAACACTTCTTCCATAGACGAGTATCTCTTGTAACAAAAAATCCAATAGTCCGTCACTGCCTCTCACTCGGAATCCTAGTTAGTTCCTAGATTGCCCCATTTTTCGCGGTACATTCCAACAGCCTCCCACGTTAGTGGGAATCGGTAGCAAACTTAGGTCACCCCTAGTTGTAACAAACCATATGCAACATGATGAATCGTGTTGCCCGCATTAAGATTTGCGCAATTCAGGTTTGGTTGATCGAGAGGATTGTGTTATTATCTTAAAGAGCAGAAGAAAGAATATTGACTTCAAAAGAAAGAAGTAAGCGAGAAGAGAATGGGACTGCCTTTTCGAGTACACCCCACCAACCAGACATGCAACACCACACACCAGACAAACCCCAACTACGCGATCTAGCCCATGGTATTATCCCGGTTCCTCATAGCCCCATTGGAACACCAGGTGCTTTTACCCGTAACGAGCAGCCTCTAAGAGCCAGGCATCGGGCTTGCGGAAGAGCGTCATAGGGAAACCGAAACCGACAGGGTCTGCAGGTTGCGGCTATGCCTTGCCCGGATTTTCCGGCAGCCGCAGCCATGCACGGCGCTTCATCGCCTCTGATTCGTCGTACTTTCCTTGGGATCTGAGCAGAATAGCTAGGTTGTTGAGGCTGAATAGGGTGTCCGGGTGATATGGTCCGAGAGCATTCTCACGTCCCTCAAGTGCACGCCAATGCATTGTCTCTGATTCCCCGTACTTTCCTTGGTATTCTAACACAACAGCTAGATCGATTGAGGCTTCCAAGGGTGTCGGGGTGGTCTGGTCCGAGAACATTCTCACGTCCCTCAAGTGC